GTCCACCTAAACTAAACTAGACTATAAGCTGTCTTAGTTAGCAGTTTCTGCATCCCCGAAGAGTTCTGATCAAGTGAAGCGTTGCGGGGAGGCCAATTTACTTAAATTGGATGTCTTTGGGCAAAAGGTGCAGATATCGCAGCCTAGCTGTAAACCACAACACAACGTGGCAACCACCAATGTAAGGGGAAAAAGAACAATTATCATCCAGCAGGGAATCGAACATCGGTCACCTGCGTGAAGGGTGGAATACTTAAAACTATACTACCGAAGACTGAAGAGTTTAGGTCAGATATCGCAGCCTAGCTGTAAACCACAACACAACGTGCCAACGGCTCTCTCGAGGGCGAACGAAGATTACCCGTGACATGACCATTGAGCATCACGTCGCCGCTATCGCAAGCTAGCTGTAAACACCAAAACCGAAAAAGGCGTAGATATCGCAGCCTAGCCATAAACCACAGCACAACGAGCCAGCCGCCCAGTTAAGTGGGAAAACAAATTTGTCACCTAGCACGGAATCGAACGCGGGTCACCCGCATGATAGGCAGGAAATTTACAACTACGTTACCAAAGACTCAAGTAGTTGGTGGAAATGAAAATATAATAATGCAAAGTTCAAAAAGAAATAATGTCCCAGGTTCCCGTCTTTACATGTCTAAATACTCAGTCAGGAAATGGTCGTGTGCATAACGAGCGTAAATCAATCAAGACAGTTCAACTCCGCCGCCAATTTAAATGCACAATAGTATTATTTTTTCAAACGAAATACAAAACACCATTCGGGAAAAACAAAGTATACTCGGTTTTTTAAATAAGACGTGTTTGAAAACCCAAGCTAAGGTGACCAAAAAATCCAAGCAAAGCATTTGCACACACACACACACACACACACACACACACACACACACACACACACACACACACACACACACAAATAACACGAATACAAAAAGCCAAGAATGATAAATAGTATAAAATCTATTGTAACGACAGAAACAATTTACCCAGTTATGTAAGTTTATTGTGGGGAAAAAATCCGGATACATCAAAACAGCAAAATAAACAACGCTGCAAAGTGTGAACCCACGGCGTTATATAAATATTTAGATCATGGGAGAAAAGGCACTTATTGGCAGCCCTGCTTAGCAGTCAAAAAAAACCAATCAACTAAAAACAAATCCGGGCCGGCAACCAAACAAATATTGATTTGACCGTTGCTGGAGCTACGTCGTTCGTGGTTGTTGCGATTTTATGACATAAAAACATGCTTTGATTCAAAGGCAACGTTGTGTGAAAATTTGAAAGCAATCGGTTTAGTGGATTCCGAGTCTATAGTTAACAGACTCGGAAAATTAACACTTTTATTATTATAGATAACCGCGAGAAATGAACTGGGCAGGTGTGATCTGACGTCCTAATCTTAGCGTCTGAATGTGGCTTTTAGTGTGGCTCCGAGGTGTTAAAGATATAGATAGCAGACAACAGTTGGGAAAAGGGGGAAAGGTGTGGGTTGGAGGGGGGGGGGGGAGAGAAATGGAATCGTTTTATAACTTTGTCACTCTGGCTGATCCTTTTTTATTGGTCCACTTTTGTCATATATCCTTCCGTCTCGTTTAGGCGAGTGTTATATTCCAGTCATCCCCTTGTGGGATGCAATTTGTTATTATTTTGAAGCCCCACCATGGCTCTTGCCAGGGACCGCAATATAGCCCGGCCATAAATAGGTCTAATGGATGAGCGCGATATCCGGGACCTCTCCACAATGATCCTCATCCGCATGGTGGCACCTTGTGTCATCGGGTGTTTATCGCTTGTGTGATGTCCTGGTGGGGTAAAAATACTACTACATAGTGGCTCCCTTGAGTGTATGTGTGAATCTACATATACATGAGTGTGTATGCAAACACGTATACATGCATTTCCACGTGAGCGTGTACGCATGTATGTATGTATGCATATGTGTGTGTATGCAAATAGGTTATAGTGCATTCACACGTGGGCCTGCCGACACGTATGTTGTGTGTGTGTGTGTGTGTGTGTGAGTGTGTGTGTGTGCAATTGGACATGTATGTCTAAATATGTATGTAGTGCATACCAGCCCCCTCCCCAACAACCAATACTATGCACTAGAGTACCGCTTCAAGCTACTGGTTTTGGTGTAATTAACATTTCTCAGCTAACATAATTGGCACAAGGAAACCAGACCACAGTTATAACCGATACTGCTCGTAGTAGGTTAAACGTAGTCGATTATTTTGTTTTGTTTTTCATTAACGGATGGATGATAGATGGATACTAATTCATTCCTATCTAATATCTTATGTAGCACTGCAAATGTTCGGATGCTAGGATTGTATCCAGCTGGGATTGCTTGCTTGCTTGTTGTACCCCACCAGGATATCACACAAATGAAAAACACCCGGTGACACAGAGTGAGGATCACCCGTGGAGAGGCCCCAGAAATCCCTTTCAACCGCCATAGCTACATATGTGGCCCAGTTATATTCAGGGCCCCAGGCAAAAATCAGGGTGGGGCTTCATAAAATGAAAAGTTGTGTTCCACAAGAGGAAAACTTGTTGTCGTACACTTTTCCCCAACAGGACATGACACAAAGTGCCACCATGTGGATCAGGATCACCCGTAGAGAGGTCCCGGAAACCGCGTTCAGCGATTAGGCTATATTAATGGCGGGGCTATATTGTGGCCCCTGGCAAGTGCCAGGGTGGGGCTGCATGTAATGAAAAATTGCGTTGCACAAGAGGAAAACTTTTTGTTGAGCCAGAATTAGCAGTAGTAGTACATTTTACCCCAACAGGACATGACACAGAGTGCCACCATGTGGATCAGGATCACCCGTAGAGAGGTCCCGGAAACCGCGTTCAGCCATTATGCTATATTAATGGCGGGGCTATATTGTGGCCCCTGGCAAGAGCCAGGATGGGGCTTCAAAATAACGAAAAATTTCATCCCTCAAGGGGATGACCAAAAAAGCTGGAATTGTATATGGATCTAGACTGTAGAGTGTCCGATACTTTTAGAATTGCGTTTCATTTTAATTTCTTTATTATACAAGGTCCGACAACTAGGTAATAAGACTAATTCCATAAAAAATTTTAAAAATCAACAGTTGAAGATATAACCTGTATGTTATTCAAAGTAAGCCCCTTGTGTATTGATACAGCAGGCGGCACGATCTAACAAACACTAGAACGACGTTTGTAGTTCTTCTGTTGTAATGACCCGTCGAGGGGGTCAGTCAGGCCGGATGTTATATGCTGTCTCAGGAGGTCTGAGGTAACGCATCCTACCAAGCACCCAGAGTGTATGATTTGCTACAGACAAATACAACAGCTCCGTCAGTATACAAAGCGACAATTAGGTTCCTATAGGGAAGCAAGAAGACGGCAACGATAATAGAAACACCACTAAACGCCAGTCGCATATAACAAATTACCATATCCTATCGTAACCATTACCATTGTCTAAGAATACTGTAATATAAAACGCCCCGCCAAGTATGATCTTGTAGTGCAATTCGTCTGTTCATGATGGACGAACACATTGCGATGACCATATATTGGTAATCAATGACTCACTGACAAGTCTACTACTGTCTGGCAAATACTCACATCAGCAGTCTTTTTTCAGACATGGACAAAACACCCCAGCGAACTATGTACAAGGTGCCTGCTACAGGGATTCACACCCGATCGAGAAGATACACCATTGTGATGTGCAACTGACAGTCCTCTGACAGTTCTTCATCTGAAACACCCCGCAGCCAGATGACTCAAGGCAGATGACAAATTGATCTTTAAAAAAAAACCACCTCCCGTCTGCTACCCCAGCAACTCGTTGAATTTTCATTGGCCAACATCCCGTTAACTAGCCTCCGATGCCTTTCCATCCCAACTCCACATTGGTCAACACGCTAAGTTCCCCAGCTTTTCTGTGCACTTAAGAATACCCCACCAACCAACGTACCACTTAGCCGCACTGTTGCTGACCCTTCCCACACGGGCCGCTGAACCATCCATTCTATAAATCACGCTGACAGAATTCCTAAGTCCAACTCATGACCCACCACAGTCATTAGGACAGTTCACACGACTAACTGAAAACTTACTGACTCAAAGTGCCACTTAGTCCCATCAACAGCGATCAGCTACACGTGAATTTCCCATCTCCACATAACTAGGGGAGTTTGCAGTGATCAGCAAATATCCAGCGACTTATGTTCCCCCCCCCCCCCCCCCAGTGGCTGATGCTCCACTCTCTTCAAGTGGCCCCAGATGTTTAGAATCAACCCATCAATACAATATTAATGCCCATGTGTACCCATGCCTTACAATTCTTTATACCCCACAGTGATTTCACACACACAACTGGAGTGCACGTACATTTGCTTCTCTCAGATGGAGTAACACAGTATTCTGAGAAACTTGTTACTTGGCTGTGTACATATGGTGCCCTTTGTCCTTTAATTAGACATGAATGGGTTCCGTAGATGAACTGTACAATTAAATCGGTCCCGCGTTTGTGTGGTCACCCTTGGTTATCCTGGTCTTAGCAGATCTCTGGGGATGCAAATAAATTATAAACAATAACGCAGTCGATAGACTGTTAAATCTGGAGACATGCAATGTCCCCGCAACAGCTAAAGTTTTTGTACAAGGTAGCCGATGATCTGTTTTTATGTAAAACGGAGCATGAAGGTAACAGAGCAGTTTCTTCAGATCTAACTGAGAGAGTATCTAATCTTTGCAAAAAGTTGGAACAATATTAATCTTGAGTTTATTTAAATTTCAGAAATTATAAAATAAAAACGCATTACATATTATTTAACAGCGTGAACACGTTTTTCGAGCCAAATCCAAAATAAATATGGTCGTCGCTTAACTAACTTCAATGATGCAGAACATGACAATTACTTACAGTTTCATTGTGTTAATTTTCTTTTGAAGAAGCGTATCAACACGTGAACAAAGCTTTTTAATCACTTCACAAACCTGTTTAATTTAAAAGTAATCATAAAAGTCTGCCTAAATTTAGAACTCATCTTAAAGTACAAAAATATATTAATACTTGAGTTCAATGCCTCTGCTGTAAACGACCCAGACAATATCACCATAGCCAATCTTCTATATAGTCCATCATATGTTAATTCTGGCTCTATGTATTTAGCCATAAATGCCCCAACAGCGGGAAGAAACGAAGTGATGAACGTAACGGATATTAACACCACCATCTTCGCTACTTTCCTTTCCTTGGTATTTGATGTTGTCTTTGTTTTATCTTTTGTGTCATTAGAGGCATATGCGTTTGATTGTCTCCAATTGGCTGTTTGGTTTAACTTCACAATAAGAATAGTTGTGAAAACGACAACTGCAATGAAACAAGATACTGGCATTACGACCCCGTTGATTACATAAGATATTGAATCTGCTTTCTTTCTTTTCTTCGCATCCTGGAGAAAGATCAGCCCTAACATGGTTCTGTTTCTTTCGGGAAAGAAACGCCATCCGATCCCAACAGAATAATAGGCCATTGAGGCACAAAGAAAAGTCACCGCGAAGAAAACTATCACAGCTATAATGTGTGTTCCATGAGTGAATATACTTCTGACTTTCAAGGGCATAATAACACAGAAACACCTCTCTAGGCTGATGAAAGCAGTTATCCATCCTGTTACCCTGGTAAACATTACATGTGGCCAGCTTCCTGTTATTAAATGAACTTCGTGTGTGGCTAGTGGAATACCTGACGACTGGAAAGCCGGAGTAAAACAAAGATTACTCCACATCACAGTTAACAATGAGCACAGATCAGAAATTGCTAGAGATAACAAGCTAATGTTTATACAGTCTGAGAAACCTTGTCTGACGAAGACTATACAGTTGAGAACGTTGCTTATTATTCCAAAAATTGTCACAGTCTGGCAAACAATACCCAGGCTAATTGACATTGCATACAAGTACGTTTCATCGGTGAAGATAGAAGTGCGCTCAACATTGATGTGTCCATCTACAGTGCCAGTACTGACATTATCCACAGACTCCAGAAATCCTGCCATCCTTTAACAAATATATAAAGTAGATGAGCTATACATTTAGTATCTAAAATAAGAAGCTTAGTATATGCATAAAAATTATGTATGATATGTTAACGATGATATTTTATCATCAGTGTCTGTGACTTAGGTGTAACGAACGCGCTTCATAGTTCTAAACAACCGGATTCGGTCCCAGCTGCGGACGATTTGACCTTGCGTTGGTTTCGACAGTGGTATCCAGCGCTGGCCATTGAGATGGCAATGCAAACTCTAAACATAAAATTGCTTGTACATTTACAAAGAGCAAAACATATGTAGCTGGTTCTGCAATCTCCTGTAAGGGATATGCGACTGAGTTTTTATTATCATTAGATATCATTCAAGCAGTGTGAGAAAGACTATCGCCAGAGCCATTGTTTTTCATGTGCAGCTGCAGAGGAAGGCACATTTTCAGGATGGCATATTTTGAGGGTGGCAAAATTTTCAGTCACGAAATATAACTTGCAGTAAAAAAAAGTTTATATATATATATATATATATATATATATATATATATATATATATATATATATATATATATATATATATATATATATATATTACAGCTTTTATCATTATGAAACTCACAGTCCAAAAATCTTGTTTGAATGTAATATGGCAGCATGAGCTGTGAGCAGGATCAGAAGGCTTCAGATATGACTAACAATTCTGGAGTAAAATATATATATATATATTCCTAAGATAAAACACATTCTTCAGAAGAGCCTCAGTCTGTACTAGAAATATTCTTCTTCATTGTTCTTCCGGATGACATAAATGCGTTGTACCTTTTTAGAGCATAGATGCGATATTTGCTCCTTTCAGGCTGACATATTCAACTTCTTCGGTAGTTCGTTATTCATGTTAGCCTTCCCTGTTAGTTTCCTTGGGCCATTTGCAGCCTTATATATGTGGTAACTTTGTCTTCTTCCTCTTCTTTTGTCGTCTCACTGTTACCAGCTTATAACCGAGTGTCTTGGTTTTTTTGTATTTGTCTTACACATCTCGGGTGGCTTTCGTGATCTTTTTGTTCAACTGTTTTGCAGGTTTCATCTACACCATTTATCCATATCTTTCTTTGTCTTCCTCTCGCCTTTCTTCTAGATTTTCTACTAAAAAAAGTCTCATTTGCAGTCTGGTCTGATCTGGCTGCATTGTCACTAGATGGCCGAACCATTTCATTCTTTCTTTGTCTGTCAATATAATCCAGACATGGTCTTATTCTAACTTTCTCACTAATGCTGGTATTTGTAACCCTGTCTCGTATAGTGTTGTTAGTGACCTTGCGGAGACAGCGTATTTCAAATATAATTTTTTTCGGTTTTAGTGCCCTATTCATTGTCCATGTCCATGTTTGGTAACTTTTGTCATCACCTGATAAAGGCACAGCCGTTATATGGCACTC